ATATAAATATTTGCTTTATTTATATATAGTTGATACTGTCTTCACTTTTTCAAAGAAGAGTATATTAATAAGAATTGCAAAGAGTATAAATTGGGTAAGACTTTCTTCTGTTTTTTTTTACTTACGCAATAAACGGTACGATTATTATGACAGTTAGAAGAAACATCACCCAGACGAGCACTACTGTTTTTCGAGCAATCAAAGATTCCCACACATTTGCCCATACTTTGGGGCCCACAGCATATGAGCTTGAGTTGTCAACGGCAATTACATAACCTACATTCAAATACAGTTCATCAATTAGTTAGTATAAATAATTTTTTGGTGAAAATACATATTGGAAAGTATGTACCTTTTGGTGAATCCTCATTGGATGTATAGTACTTGTCAAACAAAGTGTGAGTAAAATCGTGTATAAAGCCCATACCCAGTTTCGAATAGATCGGCTCGATGGAATACGTTACATTCGAATTGTACCGAGTATAGTTAATGGACGGTAATGCATCACTTGAGAATTCAATCAAACTTACTGTCTCATTAGCCATGTTTCAAGTATTACAGAATAAAGAAAACATTCGAGTCGTTGATGCTCAATATTCAATATCCTAGCAATTACCACATGAATCGACTGCTATATGTAAATAACATAACTTACCATCAAGTATACCAATTTCGATACTTCATCTGATGCATTGTGCATCAAGTGACATATGGAAAATCATTCACCGCCTCCTCGTGTGTTATCAAATTGTGGAAATGGTGGAAATTGTGGAAAAACTTCTATATAAGTGTATGTGTACAATCGAAAAGTTTTATGTAATGACAGTTAAATCTGAGAAGTAAAGTTTATTTCTTTGAGAGTCTTTCATATACATATGTATGTACCAAAAATATTACAATTAGTGCTCAAGGGCTATTAAAGTTATCAATAACTAAAGTCGGTTAAAGTCGGTTAATACATGCTAATTTATTATTAAATGTCTTATTCCCAACATGTGAAAGTCGTAAAAGAAAACAACAAATATTGAGAGTAGTACTCGGGAGAGCCCAACTAGCAGATATCCGGTGCAAATTGAAAAGCTAAGATTTTTTGCATGTAGCCACTTATGAGGAGCATTATAAAGTTTACGAGATATAAAAATGTACTTTTGAGTCTACATATATTGGTTTTTCATTTCTCCATAAGTATTATTACGGTAAAGAATAACAACACAATTGTAAATTTTTTTAAAATTAT